GTGGAGTGACCCAACCCTCGTCTCCCGTCACCACTACCCTGCCCTCTACTCTATTCCCCCCTTTCACTCCGCCATTCATTCCTCTCTCGTTCACACTTCCACTCACCTGAGCGTATGTCCTCCGCTGCTGCCTCTCCTTTCTCAATCGCATCTCCTGCCACTCACTTTCTGTCGTCTCCGTCTCCTCGACCATCCTCCCCCTAGGCGTTCGCTTCCTCGTCGTCTGTCCTTCCTTTCTCTCCGCCTCCGTTCTTTCCTTTCGCAAATCACGCACCTGCTCCATCAGCTTGCTACATTCTCTTTCTATTTCCATCTGTCGCAACACCAACTCGACCACCTCCTCCTCCACTTCAAACAACGCGTCCTTCGTCGCAATCTGATCACCTCTGCTTAAACTTATCTTGCCTCCGCTTTCTTTCGAGATCGCCTCCATCGCCACTTTCAAGCCACGCTTCACATTCCGTACTCGATCACCGAACTCCTTTTCACTATCCACTGCCTTTCCAGTCTGGCCTTTCAGTACGTCCTCTTTCAATATCTTTCTTCCAAGCTCGCCTCTGGTTCGCTCTTCCCTCTCCTTCCTCTTGCCTATCTCCTCCTCTCCGCCTTGCGCCTCGCTACCTCTGCGTAGCTTACTCTTGACAACGTTCCTACCTTCGCCCTCTCTGTCATCCTCACTATCACCCGGTACTCCGCACACCTTCCTCTTCCTCAGCATCACTCTCGCATCCTTCATCACCACCTCTTCCGCACTCATCATTTCCTCCTCCTCCGACATATCTAAGACGCTCTCACCTTCCACGTTCATATTCCTCCTCTCGCCCTTTTGCGTGCTCCCAGCACCCTCTGCCGTACTTCCCTGCACTTTTTTGTCGAACTGTCAAAAGTGACAGCTACTCCAAAACACTCTATTCCGTCTCCTCTCGTCCTCCTGTACCACCTCCACCTACTCTCGTCACTCTCTGGTGCCAATCTCCCACCTTGACAGATGTCACCAAAAACGTCTCTCGCGAGACCTCCTGACAGCTGTCACTTTGACAGCTGTCGTCTGACGTCTGACAGTTGACAGCTGTCAACCGTCAGGTGGTTGCTAGGGGTTGGCGACACCTGCCAACCACTAATCCTTCCTCCTCTCACCTTCCTCTATCCAAAACCGCTCTCTCCTAGCAACTGTCAAAGTGACAGCTACCCCCTCCAAACTCCTTGGCGACCCGTGCACGGTCTTCAGGAGGCTCTCCTCACCACTTTCCACCACTCCGTTCGTCAACTGTCACTTTGACAGCTGTTACTTTCTCCCCCACTCCTCGTCTGTCCACCAACCAAGTTCCACCTTTGTACCACCAGCCGTTCTNTGCATCACCGTCCATTCGTGAATTTCTTCACCTCTCGCATCCGTCACCTCACCACCCCACATTACATTCTTGGCATTGAAATCCCCGGCCACAATCATCCGTTCCCTTCTACTCTGAAACCACCCCGACGCCTCACGAAACTTCGAGTTCGTGTTCCTAGCGTCGGGGGGCTCGTCATACACATTCGTTACCAGGACGCTCCTTTCACCCCTCACTTCCACCTCGACCACCACCATCTGCCCTGTACACGTCATACCCCAAAAGTCCCTTGAAATTTTCGTATGGTTCCTGAATTAGTATAATATCCAAACTTTCAATTTTGATTTTCCGAAATAGTAACACCATGGCTTCCCTGCCTCTACCCAAGTTGACCTGAAGAATTTTAATTTTGCCCATTACTACAATAATTTATAAATTTTCGCGATTTTACTAGAATTTTCTCCAGCGCAGGGCAGGTGGGTTCTCTAGCGCTATGCGCGACCACCCTCCTCTGTTCCCTCCAGCAGCTTATGCATTTCAATTCCTTGCTCCTGCACTCCCTGGAGTCGTGCTCCCCCATACATCTACAACACACCTCTTTCTCTCTACATGCTTTCATGACATGACCGGGTCTGCAGCACCTGTAGCACAGCGGCAGTCCCAGGTACTCCTCCGCGAAAAGAAGCTCGCAGCCCATCTCAACCTTCCCTCTCTTAACTACGTCCTTGAATGCCTTTGCGCCCACTCTCAGTATCACATTCTCTTTCCACGGATTCCGACACGTCACTCTTCGAACTATTCTCAAACTGTCCTCGTCAGTCTTCGTCCAATTTTCAAATCCCCTCACCAAGTCTTGAAAGTCTCGTCCGTCAGTCCTTTCTCCACCCCCGACACTATGATTATGGGATCCCTGCTCTGTCGCTCTCTCACTTCCACACCTTCCATCTTACTCAAACCTTCTTCTATCTTCTCTTTTTGCTATTTGTCCTTCGGCACTATTACCACCCTTCCGTCTCTGATTATTTTTACGCCTTGCGGCGTACCTCCTATATCTTTTACCTTTATATTCTTTGCCAAGCTCTCAGCTAACCTCCTCGCATCCTTCTCCTTCGCACTACTCACCAATATCGCGCCCTGTCGTTCCTTTCGTGCCGAAGGTGGAGTGACCCAACCCTCGTCTCCCGTCACCACTACCCTTCCCTCTACTCTATTCCCCCCTTTTACTCCACCATTCGCTCCTCTCTCATTCACCCCTACACTCACCTGGGCATATGACCTCCGCTGCTGCCTTTCCCTTCTCATCCGCATCTCATGCCACTCGTTTTCTGTCGTCTCAGTCTCCTCGGCCATCCTCCCCCTAGGCATTCGTTTCTTCGCCGTCTGTCCTTCCTTCTTCTCCATCTCCGTTCTCTCCTTCTCCTTCTGCAAATCACGCACCTGCTCTCTCAGCCTGCTGCATTCCTTTTCCATTTCTAATTGTTGTAAAACCAGCTCGACCACCTCCTCCTCCACGCCAAACAATGCATCCTTCGCCGCAATCTGGTCACCTCTGCTCAAACTGATCTTACCACCGCTCTCTTTCGAAATCGCCTCCATCGCCACTCTCAAGTCTCGCTTCACCTTCCGTACTCGGTCACCAAACTCCTTTTCCTTGTCCTTGTCCACAGCCGTTGCCGTCTGACTCTTCGATCTATCATCCTCTTTCAAACCTCTTCTCGCCAAATCAACTCTGGGCTTCTCTTCCCTCTCCTTCTTACCGAAAACCTCCTCTCCACCTTGTACCTCGCTGCTTCTGCGCAGCTTGCTCTTTGCACCACTCCTACCTTCTCCTTCTCTATCATCCTCACTACCGCTCGGTGCTCCGCTGACTTTCCTCTTCCTCAACATCACTCTCGCATCCTTCATCACTACCTCCTCCGCACTCATCATCTCTTCCTCCTCCGACATATCTAAGGCGTTATCACCTTCCACATTCATCNCTTCCCTCTCCTTCTTCTTACCGAGAACCTCTTCTCCACCTTGCGCCTCGCTGCTTCTACGCAGCTTGCTCTTTGCACCACTCCTACCGTCTCCTCCCCTTCTCTATCGTCCTCACTACCGCTCGGTGCTCCGCTGACTTTCCTCTTCCTCAACATCACTCTCGCATCCTTCATCACTACCTCCTCCGCACTCATCATCTCTTCCTCCTCCGACATATCTAAGGCGTTATCACCTTCCACATTCATCTTCTTCCTCCTCTCGCCTGTTCGCGTGCTTCCAGCACCCTCTGCCGTACTTCCCTGTACTTTTCTGTCAAATGTCAAAATTGACAGCCACTCAAAAATCACCCTTTTCCGACTCCTCTCGTCGTCCTGGATCACCTCCACCTACTCTCGTCGCTCTCCGATTTCAAACTCCCACCTTGACAAATGTCACCAAAAATGTCTCACGAGACCCCTTGACAGCTGTCACTCTGACAGCTGCCGTCTGATGTCTGACAGTTGACACCTGTCAACTGTCAGGTGGTTGCTAGGGGTTGGCGACACCTGCCAACCACTAATCCTTGGTCCTCTCACCTTCCTTTATCCAAATCCGGTCTCTCCTAGCAACTGTCAAAATGACAGTTACCCCCTCCAAACTCCTCGACTACCCTTGCACGGTCTTCAGGAGGCTCTCCTGACCACTTTCCACCACTCCGTTCGCCAACTGTCACCTTGACAGCTGTCACCTCTTCCCCCACTCCTCGTCTGTCCACCAACCAAGTATCAACTCTGTACCACCAGCCGTTCTCCTCCTGTCGCGATTTTAGCACTTCTTCTGCAAACACTTCTTCTCCACCTAGTCCTCACCGCCACACACCACTACCGACTCACTACACTCACTATCCACACTTAGTCCTCCGCTCCTCCGGTGCTATGCCCCAACAGGCCTTCGACCTCCGAACAAATATTTAGAATTCTTTGAATTTTCTAACCCTACTTTTAGCAGCTCTCTATGAACGTGTTCACGTCGCGAATGCTAACCATAGACTTACGGGTAGGGACACGATCAATNCCCAGTGTCTCTTTAATTTTGCCCCTTTGTTCCGAATCCCTTGGTATAATGACAACTTTGCCATCTTTGATCTTTCTAACCCCTTGCGGAGCCCCCCCAATATCCTTTACGGATACCTGCTTGGCAAGGGCCTCCGCAAGCTTCCTAGCGTTCTTCTCTTCCTTGCTAGACACGATCAGAGCCGTCTCCGCAGACCTCTTCAGGGGCGGTGTTGTCCACCCTTCCTCACCTACTACAACTACCCTTCCCTCAATCCTTTCCTTTGTCATTCCCTTACTGGCCTCAGCATAGGTCCTACGTCGCCTCCTTACCTGCCTTTCCTTCCATTCCTCACTGTCGCTTTCTTCCGTCATTACCCTCCTAGACTTTACTTTTCTACTCTCATTCATGCCTCTTTCATACCTTTCCTTTGCTCTTTTTCCGCCATCTTCTTCCTTCTTTTCGCTCATTCTCCTTTCCAATTCTAGCTGCCTCTTTAATATTCCTATCATCTGTCCTTGAATGTTGACCACCGCCTCCCTGACCATCATCTGATCTGCCCTCGTGAACGCCAACTTTCCTGCGTGCTCCTTCCCTGTTGCCTCCATGATCTTTGTTAGTTCCTTCTGTACGATATCAATTCCATCCTCTTGTGCTTTATTCTTTTCGGCTTCTACTCTTCATTTCCTCTCGTTCCTTACGCTTCTGCTCCTCCAGTTTCCTCTCCATCTCTTTCTGCCTCTCACTATGCCTCCTAGTTGTCTCCTCTTTCTCGATTCTCCTCCTTATTCCTGCTTCCTCTCTTGCTCTTTCATCCTCCACGATCTTTCTCACTAGTTCCTCTTCCTCTGCCATCTTTGTGCATTTCCTTCTGATCCTTACCGGCGGCTCCTCTGAGGATTCGCCCTGCTCTTCGTCTCTCTCCTTTCTTTCATTTCCTCCTCTCTTCCCCAACTTGACCGTCAACTCCCTTGTACTTCTTCCCCCCGCCTCGTCCGTAGACATCATTTCCGAAGTCTTGTAGTTTTCCTCGCTACTTGAAATTTCGCTACTTCCCCCCATAAATTTCCGCGTAAGTGTCAATTTTGACATCTGTCACGATGACAGATGATGAAATGGAATACCCTAAATACACTCCCCAAATTTGAGTCCGATCGCACTATAAATACCCAATTTATCCCCAAAATTTCGAAATTTTTGACAGCTGTCAAAAATTTTTTCCCCCAAATTTTTCTCCTCTATCCCAGTGACTACCTCCCACCCTTACTTCTCAAAAATTTCTAACCGTTTCCGAAATATCGCAAAATTTCGACAATCCTTGACAGCTGTCAAAAACTGATGTGCCTAAAATGTCGAGAACTGTCCAATTTCCAACTCCCCAATGCCTAAATTTACAAATTTCGCCGTATACCCCCTAAATGTCAGTGTGACAGCTGTCACCTAGACAGTTCTCTGTTTGTCGTCCCTTATCCCCTATTGGCCGCACCAAAATGTTATAATTGTTCAATTTACCTTTTTTCCAAATTTTTCTAATTTTGCCCCCTTTTTTCTCCGCCACTGGCTCCTTACCTCCGCAGACCTTCTCTTCACCTTCTCCTCACCAGGACGAATCCTNCCTCCAAACTCCTTGGCGACCCGTGCACGGTCTTCAGGAGGCTCTCCTCACCACTTTCCACCACTCCGTTCGTCAACTGTCACTTTGACAGCTGTCACTTCCTCCCCCACTCCTCGTCTGTCCACCAACCAAGTTCCACCTCTGTACCACCAGCCGTTCTCCTCCTGTCGCGATTTTAACACTTCTACGACGCTTCTTTTCCACCTAGTCCTCACCGCCACTCACCACTACCGACTCACTACTCGCACTATCCGCACTTGGTCCTCCGCTACTCCGGTGCTACGCCCCAACAGGCCTTAGACCTCTGAACGATTTTTAAGATTTTTCCTAACCACACTTTCTAGAACTAACGAAACGCGTGTTTCCTCTACGATTGCTAACCATAGACTAGTAGTGGGTAGGGACATGAACGTTTCGGGCTCTACACCCAGCCTTCCCACCTTTCGGCCTGCAGGCTCCTCTCTCCCTTCTCAAACCTCCCATCCAGCGAAAACACTCTCAAGGGAACCCACCACCTTCCACACTCCTAAAATTAGCGGGGCGGCTCTTTTATTTATTAACACTACTATTCCTAACTAATCCACAAACATAATCTTATCCTAACTAGCCTCATTATTTACATCCCTTATTGTCTACTATGTACATTTCTCTTATCCTACTTCTACAACCTAATCTCCTCTATCCACCTCAGGGACTACTTCCTCTGCCCACTTATTAAGTGCCTGAACACTCTCCGCAGTCCTCTGCAGTTCCAGAGGCGGACACTCCCCATATCTCTCTCTAAACCTTTCTCTCTCTCTCACACAACATTCTCTCTCACATTCTCTCACTATATGCTCCGCACTTTCATCCCCTCTTCCACACTCACACTCCACTCCTCCTTGTCTTCTCCCAAATCTCCTCAGGCTAACCGCGAAGTTACCGTGTCCGGTGAGCATCTGGGTCAACTTGTGACCCGTTCGAACCCCTTCCCGGTCAACCCGAGGAAGCCACTCATAAGTCCACCTACCCGTATCTCCTCTGTCCCATTCTTCCTGCCACCTTCTCATCTCTTCTCTCGCTAACCACTCCCTTTTGTCCTTCTTCCTCACTACATTCCTTTCTTCTCTATCCTGCGCTACTCTGATTGCTGTTCTCACTCTCTCTTCCACCTTCCTATTCCCTCTACTTCTCCTCCTCTGCCATTCAATTACCGTTCTCACTCCCATTCCCAAACTCTCTACCAACTCCTTCTGTATTTCATTCACTATTTTCCTTTGGGGCAGAAAGCTGCCAATCATTCTTACTGTCTCCTTTGAATCTGTATATACTCTTACTTCTTCATTTTCCGCCGCCATCTCTCTCCCCCACCTCACTCCTTCTCTCACCGCCATTTCTTCTAGTTCACTCACGCCCACATTCCCATTTACTACTCTCACTCTAACCATTCTCCTTCTCTCCATGTTACACAACCATACCATTTCCTTTCCTCATCTCTCATCACTCCATCTACCCAAATCCTCACGCTTCTCTCTTCCCCAACCTGTCCGCCTCCTTCCAGCCGCCAGCCTCTAAAAGCCGGATGTGGCCTGTCTCTCAACACTACTCTCTCCGCCTCGATTCCCTCTCTCCACATTCTCTCACTTTCATACATCGTCCCCGCCCTAATCTCCAGAGGCATACACCCCGCTAGCACTGACAACGCTGCCGTAGGCGCGGTGGCGTATGCCGAGGTGACGGCTCTCAGGAATGATCTTTCCGTCGCCCTCAGCTGCCTCTTTATCCTTGTGTCATTTGCCTTCACCCCCTACACCCTCACTCCATACAAAACCATCGCGCACACTGCTCTCTCGTACATTGTCCTCATAACTTCCCATTTCTTTCCCCACTTCCTTCTCGCCAGTCCCATAAATTTCGCTCCCATTCCACTAGCCTTTCTTCTCACCTCTTTTACATGCTCTATCCATAACCTCCTTTTATCTATCACTATTCCCAGGTACTTTACCTTTTCCCTATTCTCCAATCTCAGTTCACCCATCCTCACCACTGGCTCTCTCACATTTCCCCTTGCTCCCACAAACATCACCTCCGTTTTCTCCTTATTATACTTCAACTTATTCTCTTCTGCCCATTCCTCGCATTTTCTCCACACATTCTCCCATTCTCTTTCCACCTTTCTCACAGACGTACCCGACACCACTAGTATTTGGTCGTCGGCGTACGCCTGCGCTGTCACTCCTCTTTCTCTCACTCTTTCCATACTTCCAAACCACTCCTCCATCACCATCAGCCACAGGGTCGGGCCAAGGCTCGACCCTTGCGGACATCCCTTTTCCATCACCCACTCACTTCCTTCTACTTCTATCTCTCGTTCTTCCAAAAAACTTCTCACCATTCTCATCATACCTACCTCGCATCCATTCTTCCTCATACTCTCCACCACTGCCGGCCCCCACGCTGTTCCGAAGGCGTTCGTGAGGTCCAGAGCCACCACGAGAGAGTGCAAACCCCTCTCTCTGTTCCGCTCCAGATCCCCAACGATCGCCTCCACCGCCGCAGTGGTGTCTCTGCCACTCCTAAATCCATACTGTATTTCCGCAAACTTTCTCTCACTCTCCATATGGTGTGCCAATCTCCCCGCTAATATCTTGTCCAGCACTTTGCCTAGCGCAGGTAGCAGCGAGATCGGCCTCACCCCACCACTTCCTTTCGGTACCCACACCACATTCGCTCTCTTCCACACCTTTGGGAATATCCCTCTTGCTGCACATTCATTCATCAGTTGACACCACCATTCACCAATTTCTTCCTCCACCCATTCCATACACTCGTTTGGCACACCATCCTCACTCATAGCCTTTCTTTTCCTCATCATTCTTACCACTCCCTTCAATTCGCTTCTCGTTATCTTCATCATTCTTTCTTCTTCATCCACTCTCACATTCCTTAATTCCTCGCACCTTCGCCTTACCGCCGTCTGGCGTTCTGTGTCTTCCCCTGCCACATCAGGCGGGAAGTACTTCCTTACCAGGCATGCCGTTGTCTCCTCCTTGGTTCTCGTATATTCTCCATCTTCCCTTCTCTCATTATGCCTTCCCAAACACACTCTCCCTCCTTTCACCCATCTATTCAGTACCTTCCACGGATCATGAGAGAGTTCCTCCAATTCCTCTTCCATATTCTTGTTCTTTGCTTCCTTAATTTCATTTTTATATTCTCTTCTCTTTTGTCTATATCTCTCCTTTCTTTCCTCTCTCTCATGATCCCTTCCTTCCTGGTACTCTCTTCTCTTTCTCGCAGTCTCTCTTTTCAATCTCTCCAACCTTTCACTCCACCATTCTCCTTCTGCCTCTACTCTTTTCCTCATCCTCAACGCTCTCTTACATGCCTTCTCGCATGCCCTCTGTAACCACTCCGCCTTCTCCTCTACACTTCTTCTCTCATCTCTCCCTCCTTCATTCCAAATCTCTCTCAATCTCACCTTAAATTTTTCTCTATCCCCCTCAGCCACTACATACCTTTTCTTTCTATTTCCCTTCCTCTTTATTATCCCCACGCCGTAACTAACATACCTGTGATCACTCAATGTCTCTTCTTCCTCCACCTTCCTCTCCGACACCCTTATCTCCTTCCCCATCACTAGATCTAACCATCCCTGTGCCCTCACCGTCCAGAAACTGGGCGGGTCCTCTGGTTCATTCTCAATCACATATCCGTTCATAATCGCCCATTCCTCCACATACATACCTCTCTCACTCGTTATCTCTCCCCCCCAAATCACATTCTTCGCATTCATATCTCCTCCTATCAACATTCTCCCTCTCACACTCAACCATTCATCCGCATATCTCTCAAACTTACTCTCTCTCCCTCCCTCCGGTTCATCATATATGTTAACAAAAGTTATACCCTCTTCCCCTTCCAAATTTACTACAATCACATTTTCATTACACAACTCCTTGTATACCAAAACTCTCTCCCATCTCACACTCACCAACGTCATCACTTTATTCTCCCTTTCCCCGTGCTTTCTATACCCCTGCGGAGCCGCATACTTGTGATACGGCTCCTGCATCAGTACCACATCCGGCTTCTCTCTCCTTATCTTTTCGTTTAACAATGTACCCGCTTCCCTTCCTCTCCCCATATTAAATTGCAACACCCTAAGCCCTTGCATCATATTTCGTATACTTCCTCACGATGTCCAGATTTACCCTATAGGCCGGACAGGCCGGGTCCCTCGCACTATGTTCCTCCCTTCTCCTAAACATTCTCTTACAATTAACGCATTCCTTCCGTTCACTCCTACATTCTCTCATCTCATGCTCTCCCCCACACTCAAAACAGGTCAGTCTTTCCTTGCACTCTCGCGCCATGTGCCCAAATTTACAGCACTTGAAGCACATGGCCGTTCCCACATACTCCTCCACAAACAAAACTTCACTCATAATATTCACTCTCTCCTTCC